ACTGAAATGAAGTCACACCCCACCCTCCAGCAGCGTCATAAACTAATCTACAGCTTCAAGGAATGTGCTTTAGTCGTCACGGCTGTCAAGCTCCTAACTTTAATGCATACCACAGTCCTCCTGGGTAAACTATCTCAGTCACTTCAATGGTAAGCAAGAGGATTTAAGATCTGAGAAGAACCAGGCCAAAGCTTGACCTTGACAACCAACACACCCTTTCATCTGAGACCCCTTAGCTATAATTAGCTCAGTAATCTTTGTTGACCACCTGCCACCTACCCAACAGGAATCACCAACAGTCAAAAACTTCTGACAAATGGGGAATGTTGACAGGCCATGCATATTTTTTAAGCAATACATATATATTTATATGGATTTTCCTGAACTAGAATACTTCAAATTTTAAGACTAAAAGACATTTTTACATATCTTAGATAGACAATGGCATATTTATAGTTGTGAAAACACTTCTAGAATTACAGTATTAAGCATCTAACCTAGTCTTATCTGGCTGGCTAAACAGCATCAGTCTCTCCGCCATTTCCAAACATTTAGGAATATGTTTTTTTTTCTAAAAGGAAAATTCCAAATGGCATCCGATGACAAACCTAACAATAGTTGACGAGTTATTGACAGGCAGGAAAGAGGCAGTGTCCACTTACTCAGGAAAGTGTATTCAATAATATGAGCAACAGAGAAACCAGCGACAAGCAATGTCACAGGTAGGCAAGAGAATACAGTAGCTTGAGATATGAGATATGACCTATGAGAAAGTACCACTTGGCTCCTGAAGAATACAGACTTAGGGGCATATGCAAAGAAACTGAGGCCTTTATTTGTCCAGTAGTTACATATGGAGACCTCACCTCTCTAATAGTAGTAAATGTTTTTATTAACTGAAAATGTCCCACTAACTTCTTATGGTCTAAGTGGCTGAGGAAGAAGACACCTAGTTTTCTATCAAAGTAGTGCTTAGATTTGAAGTGCAGTCAAGTGTAGCATTCCTGTTCTGTATCACCCCAAGTGTGCATTCTCAATGACTAGTTCATGACACGCAGTCTACTGAACCCGAGCGTGTACCTTAAGGGAAATCCAATTTAGTGAAATGCAGACCATGAGCATTCAAGAAAAAAAAAATGTGTCAGCCGAACTTTAAAATGTACCTTGTATTATTTACCTCCGTACTATGCAAGCTTTACCCTGCTCTGCCCTCCTCTTCAGCCCCCGTACAGGTTAGTAATTTTTTTAATATATCAACTTTCAAGTAACCAGACCTGAAAATTAAATCTGAAGTATGAAAACCCAGAACTGCCATTTGTGTTTCTGCTGGCATGTCGGGTTCTGAAAAGCCACCATTGTTTATTAAAGTTACTGGCCACACAGTATTTGCCTAGCGCAGTCACTTGACACCCTAGTTCAGGTTCTCAATAATCCCTAGGCACAAGCACCAACACCTAGCAGAGGAGATGTGGACAGGAGACGGAATCCAGTGTCTCACCCATCCTAAACATGGGCTTCATCGCTCAACTATACTCGAGTCCAATATCCAAATTTCACACAGGTTCAGAAAAGTGTCTAAAATCACCTTTTCAGTAACAGGAGTCAAATCTAGAGCCATGCCATTTCATCTGTCTCAGTATTTGTGCAATTTAAGGTCTGTCATAAAAAAAACGATAGTCAAAAAAAAGCATATGGAACATTTTTGGTTGTGCGCATTTGCTACCTGTGACAAAATCTTTTAGAGCATCTATCTACTTTCAAGAAACTGTGTTTTCCCCAGGAATATAGTATCTTTGTCAACAGAAAATGGTAGTCTACTTGGAGAACAGGGAATTCCTAAAACTTTTTTAAATTTATTTTTATTTTATGTGCATTGTTGTTTTGCCTATATGTACGTCTGTGTGAGGGTACTGGATCTCCTGGAACTATAGTTAAAGACAGTTGTAAGCTGCCATGTGGGTGCTGGAACTGAACCCAGGTCCAGGGCTCCTAACTTCTGAGTCATCTCTCCAGTCCCATAAAGAAAGTCTTTAATGTAAGAAGCAACAAAAGGTGTTGGAAAAGACAGAAGTTTTAAACAACTCATGAATTTGAGGGCTTCTCACCAGCTCATCTTTAGACAAGACACAAGTTTCATCAGCTGTAAAGCCATGAGAAAAGAACCTCTTCTGCTGGTCAGAGAGACAGTCTACGAAGAAGATAGCTACCACTTTCCTTATGACACAGCATAAGCAGAGTGCCAGAGAGTGGAAGGAAACATCAGTAACTTCTGGGAGGAGGGGTCAAAGAATTGAATTGCTTTTTTAAAGAATGGAAAACATAATTTCCAACTTCTGCACCTGAAAACTGATGTGTGCAGACAGCTCTGAAATTAGCCAGCAAGTTCTATCATTTCCAACAGCAGCCAAGGCAAACACAGAGGGTTCACACAAAATTACGCAATGGTAGACAGCATGACTGGGTTAAAAAACACTTGGAGTGTCGTCTTCTGTGCAAAGCTGCCTGTTTGAAAGGAAAGCTACTAGTCCAGGCAAAGGTGGTTAGCAAATAAACCAGACGTGGTAGCTTGGCTGCATCATGGGACTAGGAATCGGAGTTGAGTTTATGGTCAAGTCAATGCAACTATATTAACTTCTTCATTTAACCGGGCAACTTTTCAAAAAACGTGTATTTCAAAATAACAGGCTTTTAAAAAGTGGGTAAAAGTGTAAAGTGACAGATGTCCACGGACACTTAGGTGTACGATCTAGAAGTCTGAAGATCCCCTCAACAGCAAAAACCGTAAGTAAAAGGGCATTAACTCTGTAAGCTATACTAAAATCACTAACTACATGGAATATCTTGAGTTTGGTATTTTTTTAATTCCTAAGAGAAGCGATCTGTTTGCTTTTCTCTAGCAAATTTCTTAGAAAATACTGGCTTTATGGTACTTACAAGACCAGAAAACTTCTAGGTTATCATGCCTTCCTAATCTTGATCAAGACATTTATTAATTTATTAAATCAGAACATATGAAGCATCTATAGCCATATAAAAGGCATAATGTGAACTACAAAACATAATGATGTTTCTGAGCTTAGTGCTGGAGGCAGGCAGACATAAGGGTCCCATCTGTTTCCGTAATAATGCAGGCAGTCAGATTCTTTTAACCTATTAGCCAAAATTTAGGAAGAGTTAATAAAGTGAGGGATAACTCGGTAGGGCATTTTCATTTCATTATTTTCATTTCATTCCCCGAGTCAAATGATGGGCATCACTAGCACAACAAAAATAAACAAATAAATAAATAATTTTAAAAAAAGGTACATCTACCGTTACTGAGAATCACCTTAAGTGGTCGAGAACTTTACTAGCTGGGCTAAGCAAGATGGCTGAAGCTTTAGCACACTGGAGTCTGGAAAGAAAAGTTACTTACATATCAAAAGGCAAATTCTATAGAGTTAGTGACGGAAGTTTAAGGCAGCACCAATTGCAACGTGTATACCACACACACTTATACAGGCAACACTACAGCGTAGTTGATGGGTATTTGCTAAACCCTCTTTACACACACATACAGAATTTAAATGATAATTTTAAAATTCAAAGGAATTAAAATCTTTCCATATTTCAAAAAAAAAAAAGAAAAGAAAGCAAACAGCATTGCAGCAAAGTCATCTCTCTGACTGAAATGACCTCCAGTATCTACGAACCACTCCTGATTTCGCAATAGATGGATCTGCGACTCAATCCACGTACACACAAGAGTAGACGTGGAGAACGCTACAGTTTCTTCGGTAGACTTGGAACATCCCTCTGCCTGCCCCAGCCCTCTGGGTTCACTTTTCCCACAAAGATAACTTATCATCGACCACAAGAAGGGAACAAAAATTAATTAGCAGTCAAAATCTGTCTTAATTATTAAGGTCTCTATCCGCGAAGTCCAAATTCTAGTAAACCTGATTTTAGGAAGCAGAACTAACCCCTGCAGGGCACAGGGACATAAATACACGTATGTGAAACACCAAGCCAGAAAGTGGCGTAAAACAGCTCACATACCAATTTAACCAAAAAGGTTTGGCAAACGGCATCCCAAGTGAACATTTCCAGTTCCAAGCTACCCCACCGATCTAGAGACAACCAATACCCAAATTCGGACGAAGCAGCCAAGAGATAAGAAGCAAAATGTCTTACCTTGCACAAATCTCGACATTTTCGCGGTTTATTAAAAAGAACCTGGTTTATAATTTTTCAATTTCTCGGAGTTGCTTTTTATAAGGAAGGTCGCTCTTCCTTCCCAGCAACAACCGATGTGTTCTTTCTCCTCTGATGTTTAGCTACTTAAGGAAGTATTCATATAAAACGACCAAAAGCCGGTCTTTAAAAAAAAAAAAATCCCAGAAGACAGAAACTTGGTGGGAACAAGTCAGCTTGGGAACTCCAGGCTACTCAGCGATCCCGACACCAACGGGGGCCGGACTGGAGACTCCGGAAAAGGTAAAACCACACGAACTTAAATTTCATCAATGAAGAGGCGGACCTAGAGCGGCTTTCTCACCGCCCCGCTGGTCTCCACGCCCTCTAGGGCAGGACTGCCGCAGGCCCCCGGCCGGCCGCACCCCGCGGCCCCTCGCCAGCCGCCGTCCAGCCGCGAGCCTCGGGCGCCCGGCGCCGCTCGGGAGGCGGGGAGGCCGGCGAAGGGGCAGTGCAACCTTTTCGGCAGCCCATAAATAGCCCGGCTCTCGGGGCGCTGCAAATTCCGCACTCCGGCAGGCAGCTGCCCCGCGGCCTCCGGGGCCCGGCTCGGGGTGACACCGAGGCCCAGCTCGCCCTCCCCCGCCCCCGCCCCCCCCACCGGCCTGCGGGACCCCTCGGGAGGCCCGGACCTTCCCGGCACGCCCTCGGCCCTCCCGCCCCTCACTCTTCCACGCCCCACGCTCGGCCTTCGGCCACGCCTTTCCGAGCAGGACCCCACACGGAGGTCGCCCCGAGCCCGGCCCGCCCCTCTAGGCGACACCCACCTTCCTCTCCCTTCCACGGCTGGGAAGCTGAGGGCCCGGGATCGAGTCTTGCAGGATGCACGAGTGTGGCCGCAGCGGCCCCGTCTCCACTCCCGTCGCACGCGAACACCCGGAGACCGTGCCCACCCGCCCGCCCGCCGCCTCCCGACTCCGGAGCCCCCACTTTCTCCACACACCTCCCCTCCCCCTCCAGTCGGAGCAGCCACCCTCCAGCCCCCCCAATGCGGAAATGTCTCTGTCGCCCAGAGCGATAGGCGCAGCCGCCAGTCGGGAGCCGAGGTTTGCTCGGGGCCTGGCCAATGAGACGCGCGGAGGTGGCAGGAGGCGGGGCGTCTGGGGCACGAGGGAGGCGGACGCAGAGGCGAACGCGGGAATCCCGCGCGTGGGAGCTGCACGCAGGCGGCGCGCGGCCAGGCAGGGGTCCTCGGCCATGGCAGCTTTCCGTCGTTGCCACGAGCGTGTGAGAGAAGTGCAGCGTGTGGTTGTGTTTGCACGTCGCCAACATTTACCCGTGGAGGGAACCATGGCCGCTGGGTTCTCACCTAGCTCCCCATCATGTAGCCCTCCATCGACGTCTTCCTAAGGAACCCCGAGTCCTTCTCAATGGGACCTCACGGCCCTGCCCACCAGCTAGGGTTTGAGGAGAGCTAGGGCGTCCGGAAGCAAGCCACGGGATGTGTGTGGCCTACCAGCAGGAAGTGAGGCTTGGGGTGTCCAAGGAAGCGCCAAATGAAGGCTCCCCTCACCATAAAGAACCATATTCGCCTTGCCCGGGATCCTATTCCTCGGCACATTTGTGCCGTGATGGGGCGTTTAGTTTTCTAGCGAAGTGAAAATGACTTTTTATCCTTGAGAGATGTTCTCCTGGTGATAGATCTTGAAGTCCTCCAAAGAAAGATGTTAAAAGCCGCAGCGAGGCCGGGGACTCCCCTAGGTGTGTCCAGTCACATCCGGGGCTAGTCTTGCCAGCCCCTCATAGCTGTAAGACTGCCTGTCAGTGGGTGTATCTCACACTCGCCCTTCACACTTCACCCAGCCTGACCAACATTGCCAGTTCCCTTTCAAGTGTCTAAAACCAAGTGTTTCCAGAAAACTTTGATACATTGCGCAACGTGTTCAGCCAAGGTAAATGAGAATTTCAAAACCATTCAAACGAAAGGGTTTTCATTATCCAGGTCGTCAGGCTCACGTGGAAATGTTATTAGCAGAAAAGGATAGTGACCATGTTGCTTATGTAGACTCCAAACACCTTAGTCCCTCCTCCCCCAAATATCTCAGTCGAGAAAAGAATTTTCTCCACATAAAAAGTATCTAAGTAACCAATGTCTTTGGTTTAATAAACCAAATGTTTTTGGAGAGTGGAGATTTTGCTTAAACTTTTCATCCTCTCTGAACAGTAGCGAAATTGTTCCAGCACTAAATGAGCTGGTTTTTTCAGTCGCATTAGCACTAAAACAGCAACGAGGACCTGGGGCTCCTAGTGTAAGTTAGCTTGCAAAAATAAATAAATGCAACAAAGAATCCTTAATTTTTTACCAGATTTATTATTTTTTAAAAAATGGCCAGTTATTTTTTTACTTCAACAAAAGATTAAAGAGAAAAAAAATGGGCTTTAAATCCAGCAAAACATTTGGTAATTCCTAAGAATGGCATCTTATGAGTGACTAAATATTGAGATTGTAGACAAAGAGGCTGTGTATTTCCTACTTCTGAAAGGTCCCCAGAAAGTAAACCGCTACCCATCCTGAGTGGTTACATTTATAGCTGGTCAGGGGTTGGTTCCTCGCCAAGTCAAGTCTTGCTCGAGAAACCACATTTCGAACACATTTTCATATAGTGCCTTTCAAATGGGATTTCTTTAGAAAGGGGCTTGAATTTAAATTGCAGAGATCTTCAGACTTTGTAGAGTCTCCCACTCTCTCAAAATGACATTTGACACATCATGGAATGCGGAAACCAAGAAACCCAAGGCTCTTCTGGATCACACAACTGCTCTGTCCCTCTTTACGTTCAGACACCCCACACCACGACCTCTGTTTGATTTTTTCTGTTTGGTGCCTGTGGAGGTCAGAAGAGGGCATGGGGTTCCCTGGAACTGGAATTATACAGGGTTATGAGTCACTGTGTGGGTGCTAGAAATCCAACCAGGCTCTCTGCAGGAATAAGTGCACTCAAGTACTAAGTCATCGCTCTAGACCCTGACCCCATCTTTCCATAGTAGATTACTGTACTATTTCCTAAGGGTGCATAATCCTGATATCTACATTGTCAGAAACCTGTTCCATGGTGGTTTTACAGAGTAAGCCTTTAAGAAACTTGGAAGGAGGGTGGATTTAAAAGATGAAGATGGGAGGCTGGGACAAAGGGGCAAGTGAGACAGCAAAATAGTAGCCCATAAGCCAGTTTTTCTTCAGTGAGCTATGCTCTCTTCCAGAGATCTTATAAATTCTGCCTCTAAGTGTTTCAGTCCATCTTCCTACTTCCCCATAGAAAAACAAGCAAAGCTCATTTTTTGTTTAGCTGATCTCATATCTTGTGAGCAAACCCAGGGCCTCACACGTGCTACAAAAGAGCCCTGCCACTAGCGTAAGCCATAGCGCCCAGACAGACACTGTCTCAGAAATAACAGCAGCAAAGAGTGATGATGCCTGAGCCCTTATTTTTAAGCAGAGTTTTCGGGAGCTCTTTGGATTTAGTTTCTGTCAGTGTCCGCTACATGGCAAGAATTCTGTACCCGTATATTGAACGATTAATTTGCTGCTGTTACATACTTTAATCCATAGTATTGTTTCCTGGCCTCTGCTGTCAAGAACCACTAGTTAATACTTAGAAGTAATGAGTCTTAAGTTGCAGTGGTTTTCACCTAGAATATGAATGTGGGACAAAGTATAAGAATAAGAGCAGCAAATATGATGTCATGGTGACTTAATAAGTTGTATTAACTACTCACCATGAGGTTATCTGGTAAGGGATGATTTACGTGGTGGTTTTGGTATTTTTTTGGGGGGGTTGTTTGTTTGTTTGTTTGTTTTTGTAATGATTATTAATAAATACATTCCCTGGCCCATGCCAGGCAAGTGCTCCACCATGGAGCTATATCCTCAGTCCACAGGGTAATTTACAAATGGCTGAAGTATTAGTTAAGTGTAAGATAGGCAGTGTGTATGGCCATTTTTTATTTATTTTTGTCATTCCTTCTTTATACTCTGCACGGAAAGGAAAGAAAGAAAGAAAGAAAGAAAGAAAGAAAGAAAGAAAGAAAGAAAGAAAGAAAGAAAGAAAGAAAAGATACAGAACAGTTTGAAGAAACATGTTATAAAGAAAACTTCTGTGTCATTCCTGGATAGGTGAGCCAAGAGTCTAGGCAACAATTAACCCCTGGACTACTGCCCACACTCGAGATTGGCTCGCTTCTAGCCATCTCAGTCTTAGGCCACCCACAGGAAAGAATAAAGGGGATTACTGTTAGCAGTTGCTAGTTACAATAAAATATATTTTGAATCAAAATATAATTAAACAGGGTTAACTGGAAGAATATACCAAATTATATTTATGAGATGAACTACTAATGAATGAGTGGTCTAAACAATGAATGCAGTTTCCAAATACTTGAGGAAGAGAAAGACCTCATTCTTTCTGGTTGCAAAACACTGTTTTTAATGAATCGGGAAGTTTGCTGAAACAAGTTGAGAATTTAAATTGTGACATAGGCTTTCATTTTTTCACAGTTGCTTTTTAAATTGTATTTAATATGTAGCTTTTATAGCATAACCAACATTTATTTCAACTAACTGAGGTGTTAAAAAGTTCTCTCATTACAGATAGTTATCTAAAGAGTTGATATGTCAGTCTTACCATTGATTTTCAGTTATTCGGCTCATAAGAATTTAACCTCAGCTGTATTGCTTGTTGACATTTATCAACAGTTTTCTTCTAGCTCTCCTTGGAGAGTTGAAGAGGGGCAGGCTCTTGCTGTGACAACATCTGATACTTCTCCCATTCTCCATGTTCCCCAGAGGGACATGTTGCTAAAAATTGTGATGCCCATGAAATTGTATCTCTGTCATGTGTATCTCTAGTCCCTTCTGATTTTAGAGGCAGAGGACTTGTTCCCTTTAGTGCACAGGCCAGGGATAAACATGAAGAAATACCATATGCATTTTCAGGGTTTTTAATTAAACAGAATTTGTTATGTGATCATAGTTTAGATTTTGTTTATTTATATATTTTCGAGAAAAGGTTTCTCTGTAGCTTTGAAGCCTGTCCTGGAACTAGCTCTTGTAGACCAGGCTGGCCTCGAACTCACAGAGATCCACCTGCCTCTGCCTCCCGAGTGCTGGGATTAAAGGCGTGCGCCACCATCGCCCGGCTAGAAATATGTTTTAAAGCTCACTAAGAAATAGCACATCTCTTACTCTTAAAAAAAAAAAAAGTACTCTGGTTTACCAAACTGACGTGAATATATTATTTGTACTGACTTTGAAATCCACAGAAGAAATGCTGTGAAATAGACAAGCGTGCAGGTTAGTTCTGGTTTTTTCTTTCAACCACATTGAAGATTCGCTGTTGTGCACCCCATCAAACAACTGGTGTGATCTGATGATTTTCCAAACATTTCCACCTCTTGTCTAACTCATTAAGTGCCCCATGAGTACACCAGGGGAAGTATAAAATAAAGAACATTTGTTTCCTGGCTGAGAGAGTTTAAGAATTTTATACCCATCTCACTAACTAGATATTTAAAAGATCATCTTTGGATGAGGCTTAAATAATTGGGCAATTATGTCATTAAATGAGTTATATTATCAGGAAATAAAAAGTAACTTTTCACTTTCTAGAAAGAAAAGAAAATGGGTTGTCAAATCTAGAGAAAGACCACAGGAAAAAATATTAAGTTCTGCTGCTGTTTTACATTGAATTTTATTTCATAAACATCTTTTAAAAAAACAAATCCAAACACAGTAGCACCCAGAATGCCCACAAAAGAGCTGTAACCTGATGCCTGTCTTTCTCTACTCCAGCCTCGAACCATTGAAGAGACCATTCTTGCCTTGTGCGCATGTTCTCTTTACCTCTAAATGCTTGTATTATGTTATTACTTTCATAAATTGTGTTTCTGAATTCTGGATTTTAGACATTATGTTTAGAGTTTCCAACATAGAGAGGAACTTAGCTCATACCTCAACTCGTCTTTTTTTCCATTTTCAAAAGATAATATCTCTAAATTTAGAGTTATGCTCCTCAACCTTTACCTCATTATAACACAAAGACAAAATGGTGCTTATAGTTTACTCTGGGATAACCCAGAGGAAATTTGAACATGTATTTTAAACTAGGTAAAGAATTGTTTGCCTTTTAAATATATAAAATTATTAAAATAACAATGAATGAAAAGGAATAGAGGAAATGTTAAATATTTAATCCATATAATAACAAATAAGTCTTTTAAAATATTTAAGTGATAAATTTGAACTTGTCTACCTAAATTTAATCTTTCTGAACCATATTTTTAAACATTTC